TTTAGGAATTTAGATATCTCTCTTGTGTATTAATTTCAGTTGATTTGACTGGATATATCTAGAAGTGGGTTGCTGCTGCTTATGGTTTATATTTAGCTTTCTGTGGTATCTCTTTGCCATGATGACTGTATGAATTTGAGTGTCGACTAGCAATGTTGTGAGCTTTGCTTTATTCACTAATGCTGGCAATCTTCTAGCTTCTGCAATAGCCAATTCTGACTGGTGTAAAGTGATGGCATCATCTTACCTTAAATTTGTGTTTCTCAAATTATTACTAGTGTTGAGTATTTTTCATGACTTCTTGGACATTTTGAAGTTTTCTTTTGAAAAGTTTGCCATTCAGAAATTTTTAGTTTAGTATGTGAAGTCATAAGTTTCTTTTTAAAATTTTAATTAGAAAGAAGATTATTTTACATATCAATCCCAGGTCCCTCTGCCCCTCCTCCTCCCTTACCGCCCCCTCTACTAATACCCTACCTATCCTATACCCTTTCTGCTCCCCAGGGAGAGTGAGGCCTTCCATGGGGGGGGTCTTCAAAGTCTGTCACATCCTTTGGGATAGGGTCTAGGCCAACCCCCTTACCTATGCAAGGGATAAGTACTGAACTACTACAGGAGGTCCCATAGATTTCTGAGGTTTCCTCACTGAAACCCATGTTCCTGGGGTCTGGATCAATCCCATGCTGGTTTCCCAGATATCAGTCTGGGGACCAAGAGCTCTCTGTTGTTCAGGTCAGCTGTTGCTGTGGGTTTCACAGCCTGGTCTGGACCCCTTTGCTCATCACTCATCTTTCTCTGAAGCTGGATTCCAGTTCAGTTCAGTGATTAGTTGTGGGTGTCTGCTTCTACTTCCACCAGCTGCTGGATGAAGGCTATAGGATGGCATATATGTCAGTCATCAGTCTCATAATTAGGGGAGGGCATTTAAGGTAGCCTCTCCTCCATTGCTTAGATTGTTAGCTGGTGCCATCTTTGTAGATCTCCAGACATTTCCCTAGTGCCTGATTTCTCTGTAAACCAAAAATGTCTCCCTCTAATATGATATCTCCATTCTTGTTATCATCTATTCTTCCCCTGACTCAAGCTTTCAGCTCCCTCATGTCCTCTGCAGCTCTCTTCTTCTCCTCTTCTCATTCTCCTAGCTCCCTCTCCCCTCCTTGAAGTCATGAGTTTCTTTGTGGCATCATTATACTTCGTTCTCACTCATCACCCTTCTCCACTGACCTTTCCTATGATCCCCCTTTCCAGATGTTCCCTTTCTTCTTCTAGTTAATCCTACCTTCTGTTTTCTTATTACATTTATTATATTACCTTCTGTATCTCCCCTGAGATCTTTTCCTTTCCTCTCTTGATCCACTTCTTAGTTTTGTGATCTGTTATTTTGAATCTGAGAATTCTATATGTGAGAAAAAATGTCTTAGGCACAAGTCTGGCTTATTTCACTCAATGTATGGTTTCTGGTTGCATCCATTTGCCTATAAATGCCATGGTTTTGTTTTTCTTTACAACTGCAGAGAATTCCATTGTGTATCATACTATCTCTTTCTTGTCTATTAATCAAGTGATAGGGATCTAGCTAGATCAGTTCCATTTCCAGGCTGTTGTGTAGAATGCAGCTATAACATGAGTGTTGTGTAGAATGCAGTCATAACATGAATGTTTGAAATTCTTTGTGGCATGCTGGCTTAGAGTCCTTCAGGTGTATTCATGAGTGGTGTATCTGTACTATGTGGCAATAGTAGTTTTGGTTTTGTGTGGAGCCTCTGTATGGGTTTCTATAGGAGCTGCATGAATTTACATTCTCACAGGTGGTGAATCAGAGCTCCTTTCCCAGATCCTCAAAGCATTGGTTGTCATTTATTTTCTGTGTATGTTCATGTGCATGTGTGCCGGTGCCTTCCTCCTGTGTGCGTGCGTGTGCTTGTGCGTGTGTGCGTGTGTGCGTGTGTGCGTGTGTGTAGACCAGAGGACAATTTTAGAGCTCTTCCTCAGTTTTTTTTTTTCCTTTTTCCTTTAGAGACAGGGTCTCTTAATGAGCCTGAAGTTCACTGATTCAGCTAGGCAGTCTAGAAAGTGTTATCCAGTTATCTGTGGATGTCTGTGTCCCCAGTGAGGAAGTTACAAATGTGAGCTGCTGTTGCTAGGCTTTTGTGTGAGTGCTGGGGATTTGAACTCAGATACTCACATTTGTGTGGCAAGCACTTTATCGACCCACTTGTCTCCCTAGCCCTTCACTGTTCCTACAAGAAAGCCATTTTGACTGAGGTGAGATGGAATCTCATAGTAGTTCTAATTTTCATTTCCTGGATGGCTGGGGCTATTGAACGCTTTCCAATATTTATTGGCCATTTGCATTTCTTCTTTTATGAACTGTCTATGAAGTCCATTAACTCATTTATTGATTGGATGACTTAGGTTTTAGGTGTTTAATTTTTACAGCTTTTTATGTACCCTGAGTATTAATCCCTTGCCTGGTGTGTAGTTGGCAAATATTTTTTCCCCTAATTCTCTAGATTGTTTCTTCACTCTGGTGATTGCTTCCTTTGATTTGTAAAAGCTTTTTAACATCAGGCAATCCCATTTGTCAATATTTGACATTATTTCCTATGCTATTGGAATCCTGTCTATGTATGTATCTTTACTAAAGATTTATTTTTGAATTAATTGTGTGTCTATATGTATTTGCACATGAGAGTGCAGGTGCCTGGGAAGACCAAAAGATGTAATCTGAATCCCTAGGGCTGGATTTATAGGGGGTGACCTAGGTGCTGAAAACCAGATTCAGGTCCTCTGGAAGTGCAGTTAGAGCTCTTAACTGCTAATGCATCAATCCAGCCCAGCTCCTGTCCTTATACCTTGAAGTGTTTCACCCTTGTTTTCTTGTAGCAGTTTGAAAGTTTGAAATTTTGAGATCTTACATGAAGGTTTTTGATACACCTTGGATTCATTTTTATGAAAGGAAAGGGATATGAATCCAGTTTCATTCTCCTGAATGTAGAAACCCAGTTTCCCAGCACTGCTTGTCAGCCTTTTTTTTTTTCTCTCTCTCTCTCTAAAGGATGCCTTTGAGAGCTTGGCAACAGGTAGATTGCTCCAACCAACTGGTTTTCTCAGTCTTATATTGCAGTGTTTTTTTTTTTGTTTTTTTTTTTTTTTTTTTTTTTTTGTTTTGTTTTTTTTGTGCCAGCACCATGTTGCCTTTGTTCTTGTGGTTCTGGAATGTACTCTGAGGTCTAGCATGTGGTACATCCAGGGTTGCCTTAGCTCTTCAAGGCCTTTTGTGCTTCCGTAAGAATTTGGGGATTGTTTTCTCTAGTTCTCTGAAGAATGCCATTGGGATTTAGATGGGGATGTAGTCAGTCTGTTGTTGCTTTCAGTCATGTAACCATTTCTCCCAATAGGCAATCTTTTGCATTCAAGTTTCCTGATATTTTCCCATTTGTTGAAGAGATTGTCTTTTCCCCTTTTTGTGTTCTGGGTACCTTTGTTGAAATCACCTTCCTGTATGTGCTTGTTTCATTTCAGTTTTAATTCAAAGATTCTAATCACAGTATTCTTTATCAGTGTAATCCTCTAATTATTTTCAATACATAATTGTCATAAGTGAGCTGGACTTTTAAAAACTCCATATCTACCTGAATTAGTACAAAACTTCCTTCATCTCCTAATGGGGTCTTTGTCTTGCTAACTTTTATCAGTTTTTCTTTTGTCATTATCATGGCCTGTTGTCCATTTAAATTTTGCATTTAATTTGTGCATCTTAATGATTGAGCAGTTTAATGAGATAAAATCTTGTAAGTAAATATGTTCTATGCAAGTCATACTTATGATTTCCTATTGTAATTGCTTTCTTTCGCAGAACTTCATTCCATCTGTTTGTGCAGGTTCTGTAACTTGTAAAACACTCTACCAAGGGTTATCTTTGAATGCTGGTCCGACTTCCCACCATATGTAAAGGGAATCTGCTCTCTGATCCTAAGGTGAGGTAGGATGGAAACCCTCTCTGGATGCCTGCATAGTGAGAAGGGTTTATATCCTCAGAGCCATCCTTGGCTTTATTATTTTGATATTGCTCAGCCTGACAAATATGATTTCTTGTAGTTTTGCCTATAGCAAGTCAGCATAAGCAAATAATTCTGTTTTTAAATAAATTTTCTTTAGTGTACCCTCGATTTTCTCTTCTCATTAGAATTCCTTGTGGGAATATAATGGGTTATAATGACGTTTGGAGAAAAGAGAATAATTACAAGTGCAAACATCTTTGCCTTGTAATGTTTTCCTTTGGTGGTCTCTTGGCCAGGGTGTCTGTCATCCTATTTTACCTTTGACAGTTTGTTAACTGGGCTTCTCTCTTTTGTTCTGACATAGTCTTCTCTTCAACCTCTGTGTATCTTTCTCTATTCTCTCTCTTACTTTTACCTCTGCCCTTTATCCTATTATGTGCGACACACCAGCTCTCTCCATTACCGCAGTCCACTGCAAACTGCTCTCTACTGTCATATTTTAGTTTCATGAGGTCTGCTGCAGCCTGACTCACCCTTTCAAAAAGCAAGCAACTGGCAAACAAATCTCAAATGTTTGTTTTCTGTTCTTTCTTTTTCTTTTGCCATTATAACCATATTACAATGCCAAGGAGTTTGCAACAACTTTCCCATGTTTTCTGCCACTTTATTCACTAATAGCTTCTGAAGTAGGGTGAATTAATAGCTAAAATTAGAGATTAATGTGTTAGGTTCAGGATTTATGTTCATATGCTAGAAGTAAAAACTGTAACGTAATTAAATTACAAAGAGGATATATTTAAACAAATAGTATGAATAATAAATATATTTTATTTTGTGTAAGATGTCTACATTTACCCAGTAAATGATGCTTATCCAATGTAATTTCTATTTATGACATTATAAAACTAAACTTACTTTAACCCGAGTCTTCAGCCTTTGGAACTTCTGAGAACAATGAGTTTATTCTGGCATTTCTTCCTTCTGCAGTTGGCAGTGAAACGCCAGACCTTGGGATCAGTCTGCACTTTCTTTAGACTCGCCTGATGGCTTAATCAACAAAAACAATGGCGGCCAAATACACTCTGAGGAAGTAGGTGTTTCGTTAGTTTAACTAATCCTTTTCTACGTTTTAAGTAACAATGAAGATTGAATTGTCTTTATGAACTGTTTGATGTGTATTTATTTAAAATAAATGATAAATAATTTGCATTCACCAGTCCAGTCTAGACAGGTAACATGCCCAGATAAAAGTAATTTTTAGAACACACACACACACACACACACACACACACACACACACACACGCAGGGTCTCACTGTGTAATTCTGGCTAACCTGGAATTCATTATATAGACCAGTCGAGCCTTGAACTCAAAGAGATCTAGCTGCCTCTGTCTGCTGAGCACTGGTATTAAAGGCTCTTACCACACCTTGCTGTCTCCTTGTCCTCTGTTAGTCAATTTTAAAAGTAATTCAACTAGCAAAGAAATTTCTTGGATTTATTTCATTGCCCATTGTTTGGATTGAAAGACCCCCAGAAGCTTAGGCCTCCAGGATCTCAATCCAGGAACGTGGCAACCCCAATCACCATGCAGAGGCAGAAACTTGATGCAAACAGCAAGAGGCTTTATTGAAGCTGTTTAACGAGCTAACCCCATGTTAGCTCTGGCCTTTCATCCACCCGCCATGGTAGATGGCTAGAAAGACAGCTCAAAGCGTCTGCATAGAGATCTTATAGGGCAGCATAAGGGGAGTGTCTAGGGGTATGCACAGGCCTAGGATTGGTATGCCTCCAGGCTTGGAGGGTTTGCCCTGTGTTGATTGATCAACTGATTGTTATGGCCCATAGGCCTTTCCAGGGTGGTTGCTATGCTCTGCGTGTCATTGCTGTGCACTTGTCCTTAAAGCACACCTAGATCCGTAAAGCATAGCATCACCAGCTAACTTCTGATGGGTTCCTTGCCATGAGGCAGGCATCTGACCTCCTAGTGACCAAGACAAGGTTAGACAAGCACGTGTTCGGCTGTTATGGCTGCCGAAATGGGGAGCTGGTCCCTTCATGGATATTTTTCTTTATTTCTGGAGGATGGATTTACTATATAAGTGTTTTCTTTCAGAGCTTGAAACATGCTGTGTCCTTTGGCCTTTATGGCTTCTAATGGTAAATTTGCTGACGTGAGAACAGTTTTTTTCCTTCCTCTATCCTCTTATTTCCCAAGTTTCTTGTAGCAAGGATGACCTTGAGTTCTTGCTGCCTCTACATCCCAGTGCAAAATTTGGAGGTTATAGGCAAGCATACACTCCAGGCTGGGACTACTTTTATTATTGTTTTCTGGCTACTTTTAAAACCTTCTGCTGCCAGTTTTCAGAAATTAAGATGTGTCTTAGTATGTATTTCTTTTGATTATCATGGTTAGGTCACACTTCGCTTCTTAAATCTGTGTTTGTGTTTCTTGACAAATTTCACAAGTTTTGAAACATTATTTATTCAAGTCTTTTCTTCAATGCTGTCTTTTCCTTGTCTTGTAGGAATGTTAATTATTTTGTTACAGTAGTAAACATCTTTTGTTTGATTCATTCAATAATTTATTGAGAGGCTAAGAATACAAAGGTAAAACGTGATCAGAGATGAGGCATATGCACAAGTGTAGGAAGCAGTAAAATTCTCTGCATTATAAGAGTGAAAGAACAACGCCTTAGGAAAACAAGAGATTGCTTCCAGTGTGCAATGGGGGAATGGATGGCCAATTAGAACAGGGAATTGAGAGTAATAAGACCAGTCTAGATTGCTGATGGCACTCAGTATGGAGTTTGTTTCTTCTTTTTCTCTTTTCCTATCTTTGGGCTTAATTTACCAGTAGGGTCCAGGTGTGTTCAATGTGCTTTTTCTATACTTGCTTACATTTTTGCCTTAATGTGGTCTGCAGAACTAGGTCCTCTAGTGTTCTAGGAGTTTTTCCTGTTTATTTTTGAAGGACTCTTGACCTTTTGAACTTATTGTTGATGTTTTTAAGTCTTTTCCATTTTGGGTTGATTTTTGTGCATTTTCTGACTGTGGTGTCTTGTACGGATTTCTTCACTGCAACTTTTTCTTCAGGTTCCTCATCATCAAAATCATTTTCATCATCCTCATCATCTTCATCAAGTTTTGATATTTTTCTGTGGAACTTTCCTTGTTATCACCTCCAGAAGAAGATCACTTTCCAGACTGACTTAATAGTTTTTCATTCACTGCATCTTCATTTTCTGATTCTGCATCTTCCTCTGTAGTTACCAGGTGTCCATTAATGTGCACAGGCTCTGCACCACACTCCAATCTGAAGACCACAGCTTATGTAATCTCAAAGACTCCAAGGGAAACTGTTGGTTGTACCGACATTTTCAAAGTTTCTAGGTTATGTTAATTAGACTGCCTTCACAGTTCATTGTTTCTTCATCTACAATGTGTGATTCATCTTTTGCCCCTGTCCCTAAACTAACCGTTCTTAGTGATAACTGGTGCTCATTCTCATCATTGTCCACCTTAAAGTGATAATCTTTGTCAGCCTTTAGTTCACAACAGAAAAGGTAGTTCTGAGGCGTAAGAGGGCTCATATCCATCGATTCTTCCATGAGGTGGAGGTGTGCACTTTGGTGTGAGAGAGAAGTCAGACAGAGAAAACTGCCTACTGCTTGATCCTCAGAACAGACACATAGGACAGGAAGTAGTAAACATATTTAAGGATTTCTTGTCTATTTTTTCTGTTTTCCCTGGATGGGTAATTTATATAATTCTCTTGAAGTTTGCCGATTCTTTCGTCTTTCCCTTTTAATCTTAAGTTTATCCACTGAATTGTGTTTTTACCTCCATTACTTTTTTTCAGTTGTAGAATTTCCATTTTTTCTTTTCATTATCTTTTTTCTTTGCTGGGACTTTCTGATTTTTCTTTGTTTGAAATTGGTCATAAGAGATGGGTGAGTCTTTATAATCTGTCATCTTGGTGTCAGAATCCACCAAGAGGCTTCCTTAAGAAATAAGCTTGAGGTCGTCATGGTTCTGGGTACAGTGAGTTGCTTACACTTGGAAATTGAACATTTGGGGTACTACCTAATGAGACTGTGGATCTTGTGAGAACCTTGTTTTTTAACTTGGCTTCTCTGGTTCTGTTTCAGTAGGAGTGTGAAGGTTTAGTATTGTTACTGAGGCTCCTCTTTCAGTCTCCAGTGGTAGTCAAGGGATTGGAGTTACATTATTGCTTAGTGGATGGTGTTAAAAGGCTCCATAAGCTTCCACCGATACATACCCCTCACACCTGGAGACATGAAAATGTGTTGTTCCTGTTCCCTATATGACCTCCATGTTGGTGATAGGAAGGAGGTGACAATCCTTACTCTGCTAGGCTTACTCAGTGGCAAAGGATGAGACAGCTACTTAAGACTATATGAAAGTAGATATCCACACTCCACCTGTTCTTCAGGGACACTGCCTGGAAAATTGTTGGAAGATTAAATCCTCTATTTGCCTCCCTCTGGTACTTCCCTAGTTAGTGGATTGTGGTGCTTCATTCCAGCCTGGTGACAGTGGAATCACACATGGCTGTTGCTTGTGTGGGTGGGTGTAGGTCCATACTGTGTGGGTGGTATCTGACTGGAGCCAAGCAGGTATTAACTTAGAGATTACAGCTGTGTGAGGTGAAGAGTTGCTACAGTGGTTAAAGTATTTCCTTTGCAAGCATGAGAATGTTAATTCAATCCTCGGTGCTGTCTAAAAGCCAGGTGTGGCAGCACATCTGTAGCTCCAGTGCTGAGGATCAGGAGGTGGGAGGAGTTTAGAGGTTTGCTGGCTAGCTTATCAAAAATGGCGAGCTGTGGTTTTAGTGAGAGACCTTTCCTTACCCACATAACAAGTACAACTGTGCACTCATGCATAGTCATAAATATATAAACATATACACAAACATATAACACACAAGAACACAACACACACATAAACCTAATCCACGTATAAACACAGAACTCATGAATGTATAGTAACATATCCCCCCCACACACTTTCATACTTGTGTGTACACATACAAGAAGAAGGTCTGATTTTCTGAGCCACTCCTCTCCTTTTCTTGCTAGAGACTGCAGTTCTGTTGTTATATTTTGTCTTGTCTGTCCCTGTTGGTATTAGCAGGTCACTGGCTTTTCAGATCCAAGTCTGGGATATTCAAGACTTCACAGAAGCCAATTATGCTCCAGAGGCTGCAAGTGGTTTATTCTACTCCCTGATCTTCTAAGTTCTCTTATGTTGGTGTGAATTACATGTCCAGTTCTGGAAGGAAAAAGAACAAATATAATCTGCTCCATAGTCCTGGATGTAGAAATTCCACCAAATAAAATTATTACTAAGTTTTGGTATTTCCTTGGCCAAATTCAAAAGACCATGACTCTATTCTAAAAGATGCTGTAATCACTGTGACCTCATTTGTATAACATAGGTTACTTGGCATAAAAGACTGCCTTAAAATTGTCTAATACATCTATACATAAAATTGTGTATTCAGAAACCAATTCTAGCAGTGAAAAATTCTTTGTAATATAATATATGACATTTCTATTGAACATTATAATTTATCTACATTTTAGCTCCTCAATAATTATATCCATATAGGAGGTATTATTTAAGTCATCATAAATCTATTTAGTGATCACTTGGAAAGACATTTATTCTTTTATTGAACTAATAGCATATTGGATACTTCTGAGAGTGAGCTATTCATTTGTTAACACCTGTTCTTTGTAACCAATCAGTCAGTTTGATTGTTTACGATGGGATAATTCCCACCACCAAGTTTCCCTTCCCAGATACAACCACTGTTAATACTACAATGCATTGTCTACTTTAGTCTATATTTCATTTTAACTCAGGCTGTTCTTCGTTTTTTCTCACTCCTTCCCTCCAGTTTCTCTTCTTGTGCGTCTGGAAGGTACTTTTCCATATCCATCTATTGAATGAACAAATGTATTATTTCTCTCAGTGACTCATCTATATGCCTAAATACCATTTATATACAGATGATTGATAGCTACTTTTAGGTCAAGTCCTTAGGGTGTCAAATCCATAACTCCAGCTCTATTTGATACCCCCCTCCTTTTGGATATCTGAGTAGCACTCATAATCCATTATCCTCAAGCTGCTCTCCTCCAGATCTTTCCTCTCAATAGATGGCACTACTCTAAACAGTAAATGTTCACTGAAAGTTTAGAGGTCTTTACTGATCCTCCCCTTCTCTGTCCATGTCTGATGATTCACAAATCTAGTAGCTTTTTCCTTATGAATCTACCCAATCTTTTCTGTTTCTACCAACAATATTCTCTCATCACATTCATTGTCTAATGCAGTAATTTTCTAAATGGACTCACTGCTTTGTGTGCACCCCCCCCCCGTGTGTGTGTGTGTGTGTGTGTGTGTGTGTGTGTCTGTGTGTGTGTGTGTACATGTGTTCAGATATTTGTGGGAGCAAATGTACATGTATGTGTGTAGAATCCAGAAAACAACTTCAGATGCCATTCTTCAGGCACAATCCTCCTTATTTTTGAGACTGGGTCTCTTATTTGCCCAGAGCTCACCAAACAGGCCATGCAGGATGGCCAGTGGATCCCAAGGGCCCACCTGTTTCTGTCTTCCCAGGTTTGAGATTACAGCATAGGCTGCTGTTCCAGCTCTATATATGAGCTTTTGGAATCAAAATCAGGTCCTCATGCTTGGCAAAGTAAGTACTTTACTAACTGAGCTGTTAGCCAAGCTCCTGGACTCTCAACTTCATCATTCTGACATTAATTTTTCACTCTAAGCAGAGAGTTATTTCAGAATAAAAGGGTGGTGTTGTAATATGGCTGCATAAAAGTGGAAACTTTTTAAAATTTTTTTATTTTTTATTTTATTTTTATAATATTTTTTATTTTATTTGTTCAAATTAGGAACAAGTTTGCTTCATATGTCAATCCCTTCTTCCTTCTCCCTCCCCTTCCCCCCAACATCCCACCTGCCCCTAGCCATCCCCCTCCACTCCCCAGGCAGGGTAAGGCCCTCAAAAGGGGCTTCCCAAAGTCTACCACATCATCCTGGGCCAGGCCTAGGCCCTTCCCCATGTGTAAAAGTAGAAACTTTTAATTGCTCTTAAGTTAAATTCCTGAGTCCTTACTATGACTTTGCATACTACCTGTCTCAAATATTGATTGAAAGAGTAAACATATCATTGCAGCATTTGCTGTTAAAATAGTACTGCTGTATATACTTCTCTGTTGGATATACTTGTCAAAGTTGAGATGCTGGTCCATTTGGATATCATCTATTAAATATAAAGGTACTCAGTGAACAGATGGTGTAGTGCCTTTTAGCCATCAAGAGAAAAGAGAGGAGTCTTGTCTAGGAAGATCAGTAATGATTTATTAGGCAAATATTTCTGTGACTCGTAGCTGAAAAGATGCTGTTATATGCTAGAGAATCAGCTACTAGTTAAGGAGTATTTTTAGATTTTGTGCCAAGCAACTTTCAGTTGAAAAGTAGCAAGTGAGTCAAATTTTTTGTATTCATAACAAGTACAATTTATTCCTACAAACCACAGACATTTGTTTTATTTATAATATATAATAGGTGGGATAAAAAAGGAGATAATTTGAAATGAGATGAGCATGTAAGTTCTAATTATAATATAGCTCAAATTTTAATTTCATAGAAATAAAGGCTCCAGTGTCTTATTTGCCCCGCAATAGTAAATTCCATAGTCCGAGAGTTTTAATAAACCAGAAATAGATTTCTCAAGAGTTCCGAGGGTAGGGAAAAGCAGGATCAAGGCATATTCAGCATCTAGTGAGGGCTTGCTTTGTGCTTCATAGATGGTATCTGCTTGCTGTGTTCTTCTAAGGGGAAGGAATGGAGAAGCTTTAACATAGGACTCTGGGGTGACGCAGACATTCAGGCCATACTTTGTAATGTGGGTTATTATAGGAAAAAATCAGCAAAGTAGGCAAATGATGTTTTTAGAGACAGGCTCTTCTGTTTCTCTTTTGCTCTATGGCACTGGGAAGGAGGAGCATTTGCCTTTTGTGCATGTGAAGGAGGCAGGGATTAGCAGAAGGGCATCAGGTGCCTGAAAGACAGGGTCCGGTGGGAGTCACCATCACACTGAGCTTAGAAGTTCAGTGGGCTTAGGTAAGCTAATTAACCTCTGCAAAACTTAGTTTCCTCATCTGTAACTCTAATTCACACTTTACCTTGGAATTAAATTGGCTATGATCATTTATTTTACTATTTATTCATGTGTTCATATTTATGTATTTACTGTTTGCATTGGCACTAAGATGCCTTATTTCTGACCTGAATAGTACATTTGCATACTGTAAAGATAACAAGGAATCCAGGCATGCTAATGACTATTAAACCATTTCAAATAGTTATTGGGCTATAAAGTGAGTCATAGCTTGTTGTAGGGTGCAGAAGGGATCCATGGAGTCCTGAAAGAGTTAATAAAGCTTTTTATTAAAAAATCAAGTACTTAGAAGGAACACAGACACTAAGATTTTCATAAGTAACTTTAAAAATGCCCACTTTTCTCTGACTCCAGTCTATTTTGTTTTGCAATTAAGCAACTTTATGTTTATTTTAATCTTACTATTAATTTTGTCACAGTCATTTCAAGGTTGTCTAAGAAAACACTGACTTAATTGCTGTTTGTTACTTCTTGTTCTAGGAAATGGACCTCACCATGACCGTTGCTGTACATATAATGAAAACAACCTGGTGGATGGTGTTTATTGCCTCCCAGTAGGACACTGGATTGAGGCCACTGGGCACACCAATGAAATGAAGCACACAACAGACTTCTATTTTAATATTGCAGGCCACCAAGCCATGCATTATTCAAGGTAAAAATAGTGCCATGTTTATAAGCATCAAAGTAGGACGGGAGGTAGTGCTAGGACAATGGAAATATTTACCGAGTTCAAAGCTGCAGTGCTTCAAGCAGATAAATTACAGTGTGTCAGTATGTGAGCTCTTTTGGTTCTCTGTGTGAAAGATTTTAATAGAATTCATTATTTCATGTATATGCAGCTCTCAGCATATTTAGACAGAATAGTAGTTAACCAATCTACTGATTCAATTGATTGAATATAAAAATTGCTCTAATATATCCCAGGTTAGTTTGTATCCTTTATCTTACTTTTTACAGGAGGGAGACAAATGTTTGTGGTCTTCTTATATGAATTTTCTCAAAACTTAGTGTGAGAAATAAGATACAAATAGATGATCGTTTGCTTATCATTCATTAATATTGTTTTGCATTTGTTCACTTAAATATTTTAATAGCAACATGTGCCATAACAAAAATGCAGCCATCAATGAGGATGGCCAGTGAAAGACTCACTACACTTTCCCTCATTGTCATTCATCAAAAGTGATAATGTTAAACCTCTCTATGGCTAGTTCCTATAGAACTTTAAATACTATGCATATCCTTTATTTGTTAGTGTATTTATTTTCCTCTAACACAAGTGTGAATTTTAACCCTCATTTGTTCCTGTCCCCTACTCTAATCTCTATCACACAAATTTAAATATTCTGTTTCTTACCTTCATAAAAGGTATATTCTATGATCTATCAGTTTTAGGTTATGTCTTGTCATTTCCTACTTTGTGTATTTTGTGCCTTTATTTTTTCCAAATCTGCTTCCTGTCAGTAACTGTCATTACTTTTACATTTTAAGATGTATGGAAACTATGTTTAATATAGTAAATATATCTTTCATGTTTTCTTTGCTTGAAATGTAAAACCAATCTTCAAATATTATATATTATTTACTGTTAAACATGTAATGCTTGTGCCAATAGCCAAGAGGCATCAATGTGTTCTTTAAAAAAATTTCCAAGTTATACTTTGTGTGCGTGGGTGTTTAGCTTGCATGTATACATGTGTACTACATGTGTTCCCAGTGGCCTGAGGAGGCCAGAAGAGAGAATTACATCTTCTGGACTGGAGTTTCAGACAGTTGTGAGCTGCCATGTGGGTGCTGGGAATAAAACTTGGGTTTACTGGAAGAGCAGCCAGTTCTCTTAACTATTGAGCCGTCTCTCCAGCCCCTTTCACTGTGTTCTTCATAAATGTATTGCTTTGAATAAGGATCTCTTGAGAGAAAGGAAATAGGCAATGCCTGTAAGTTGTTCAAAACAGGAGAACATTGCAATTCTTTTCAAACATACTGTCTCCCATTCATGTTTGATGTTAGTCTTGATGGACTGAATGCACGGTGTAAGAAGGACAGAGGTTACACATGATTCATGAATGTAAGTATATTTGAAATGCTGCTTAAGTGACAGAGCAGGTAACACTCTGGTACACAGAAGCTTGCAGGAGAATTTAAAATGGTCATAGGTGCCTGGGAGTTTCCACTATGGCGATGACATTGAGAGTCATGAGTCTAGTGAGATAATGGAGCAAATGAGTGAAATAAAGGAAAAACAGAGATGAAATGAAAATACAAACTATTGTGTGCATACAATGTAGACATCAGGACAGCAGACAGCACAGTGAGGGTGAGAATCAGCCCCGGCTGAGCTATTCTAAGCCCTTGTGAGGATGTGCTTGTGGGTTGTCTCTCATTTGTCCTGGACAAAACTCCCTAGATCCTCCAAAGAGCCATGCCCTCGGCTCAAGAGACTTCCTTCTATGATGTGATTACCTTATCATCTTCACTGCCTTTGATGGCTCTTACTAAAGATTCTTGTTAGATGAGTGTTGGACCTGTTGAATTCACATCCATTCTTAAATTCTATGTTCTTCACCTGTTGCTTTTATTGCTTTATATTTTGGAGACTTTCTCAGTATTTTTCCAAAATAAAATACAAAATAATTCTTTCTTAATTTTTGGAATTTTAATCTTACTATGATTTTTGTTTGTTCTAGTTTATGAATAGATTTATTCATGAATCTTTCTTTCAATACTTACAAATACTCAAAAGTTCTTCTATCTATATGATCTTGTTTCCTCCCCCAATTAGTTGTTATTTTTGATTTAACTATTTCTCTTTTATAGTTTTAAAATAGCCAATGATTCTTATTTGCTTGCCTTTGTTACATAAAAACTAGGTTGGTTATCACATGTAGTTGATATGAGCTTCTTCTATAATTATTGGCTTCTGTATCTGTGAGTGTTGACTGAATGTCTGACATGAACAGGTTTTGTTTCTCTTTCTCTCCACCAAACTGTGTCTCTTACTCTTTGAGTCGTTGGTCTCCTGAGATCATTGCAGTTCTTCAGATCCACATACAGTAACAAAGCTGTATGTGAAGTGGGAAGGGATGATGGCTCATGTACTCAACTGTAGAAGAAAGGCAGAATTTATTTTCCTTAAAGCATCTTGGCTTTCTAGCCAAATCTATCTGCCTGAATTCTTGGGTAACTTAATCTTCTGTTGCATATCATAACACATAAAAATGCATTTATGGTTTGTAATAACCTCTAATTTTTCATTGTTAAGTGTCATGACCAAACTAAGTGGAATATTGGGTGTGATTGGTTTTTTTGTTTTGTTTCAAAAGTGGGTCTTGTGAGATGCTTCTTTGGGTAAAGAAGCTATCAAGACTCACAACTCGTGTTTAATTCCCAAGATCTGTATGTGGAAAGAAAGAACTGGATCCTGCAACTTCTGACCTTTCCACATGGGTTGCAATGGGTACTACATGTGCAATGTGTATGTGTGTGCATGGGTACATATACACAGAGACAGAATAATTAAAATGTGAAAGCAAACATATATGTATTTAATTATTAACACTATATTTCCACTTGTATCTATGTGTATATGTCTCTATTTCTCCAAGTCCCAGGACCTTCATTTGCATCATCTCCATGTGGTTATTGTGCACACATTATTGAAAACTACTGTAACTTCTCCAAAGAGGCAGTAGTTTTGAATGAAGGAGGGATATTTTCACATATGTTCATATATTTTAGTTTAATTTGCATTGGATATTCCAGCTGCCATATACCTTCATTTCCAACTGGACAAGATAAAATGTACATTTAGTTTAAATGAAAAGCTATTTGTATATTTACTTATTAATTTGAAAACACTCAGTTGATATGTTTGTCATGTTCATCTGAGTATAATGTGTAAGTTTATCTTAGCTTTTGAAGTAGATCTACTCATGACAGGTAATATGCTTGAGCATATGTAATAATATAGACATTAAAACTTCCTTAAGAGGATACACAGACTAGTTTGAATATGGGAAGAGAATTATGCCTGGAATTCCTTTATGATTATGGTAAATTGTATCAAAGTGAGTTGTCAGGATCTATTACATGATTCTTAGTCTTCCAAGAATACAAACACATAACCATTAAATGATATGTCATAGATTGTATGGAAAAGTTTGTTGATTCAGTAAGAGCTATGACATAGCCCATGTTAAATGCTAGTCTATCAGAGGCCTCTGCTCTCAATGGACTCATAATATCCTAGAAGACAGACATATACACATCTATAATTCAGAGAGATTATTGTTGCAATGAATTTTTATATGCAGCTTAGTGAGGGACATGAATTTTAGTTCAAGAAATCTTTGTGAGGAAGAATGTAAACTGGAATATAGAGGGTGGGTGGTTTTTTTTCCCAATAGGGCATCTGAGGAAGACAGGTCAAGTTAAGAACAGTGGCCATTGTAGAAGCAGAATTCAAATGACCAAATAGTTTTGTACAGCCAAGTTACTTCAGAGGGCAAAAGAGGAATATTTACTACTTAGCCCAGATAACAAGTATAAAACTGTCCAGTAACTTTGGGAAACAAGGCAGAGGGCAGACATTTTCCTTAGAAAATAACATTCTGGCCCCTTTCAATAGTCAGGAGTCAGAGATTTTAAATTATCAACATTATATTTCCATGTTCTGGCTATACATGGGAAACTACACCTCCCTCTTAAATAGAACTTTTTTCATGCAAAAGAACAGATTTGCATTAAAGACACAGACAACTAATTTAATGAAACATTAGTGGTAAAGGGCTATAATTTCTGTTTCTTGAAAAGGTTTATTGCCAATTGAACACCCTTCAAGAGACATAAATTAGACTTAATGAACATAACACTTTAGACTCTTGACATGTTACAATTTAGAAATGTATTGTAAAAGCCTGTTTATACTTAATAGGCCTTAACTTTATTAAAAATGCATGGTTATTTTTAAAACAGTTATTTTAAACAACACAGCACAGGGGCTTTGTATACTTTAAAATACTGTTTGATTTGGCATTTTTTTAATGATGAAATTAATTACTTGGTGGAAGAATTAAGGATCAACTTGCAGTCTTGCAATCTACTCTCAGTTTTTTATTTTCTCCTGGGTAACCTTGGGACAATCCTTGTAATAGCTCTGTAAACATTAGTTTTTCAATTTGCAAAGCAAGATGTGTAACTAAGTGACTGCTAATGGCAGTTCTAGAAATGGACTATGGTTAATGATATAAGAGAGGAGGCCTAGGTAACATTTTGTCAGCATGTTATATTCACCTAAAATGACTATGTCATGTCCGCTTTTCTGGTTTCAGGTCCAGGGACCAAATGCTCCATCTCCAAATGATACTTTCCTCACGTGTGTGGCCTAGGCACATATTCAGTTCAGATTCATAGAAGCCATATTTACAAACACACATCTTATAGCCAGCATACAGTTGTCTTTAGTGAGTATGCAAATGCTTCCTACTTAATATTTTTATATTACTTATGTTAACAATCAAACTTTGGTGAGAATTTTCCTTTTGGAATAAATAGAAACAAATCACAAGATACTTTATGTATCACTAACAGATTGCATTGCCCTTATTATGCAGTTTAAATGCAAAATACTGTTGGTCAAAGGAGGACAACCAG